ATAGCAGCACAACTGGAAGAACGTAATCAATGTCACTGAATTGTGCATGTAGAAATTTTTGAAATGGTGTATCTTTGGCTATATATATTTTCACCAAAAAAAAAAAAGGTCAAGAAGGGAGAGTGTTGACATGTCATGGGGTTGTTAACCAACGTCATAAAACTATATGTGTACTGACTGTTTAATGAGAAACTATTTGTTCTGTAAACCTTTACCTAAAGTACAATTTAAAAAAAAAATAAAGGGGGTAGGGAACTAAACACACAAAACTGACACTGAATCTAAAGCAATCCCACACAGTATTCTGACTCTTCAGTACTGGCGCCTTGTCTTCTCCCAAGCTCCTATGCCTCCACTACACATACTCTGGCAGGTCTCTGCTAGAGAACATTTTGACAGACAGGTTTGATCCAAGCGTAAGGCAAAGACTGTCTTTAACAGTAGAGACTCCATGAATTGTTTCTAACTTACGAAGCCTATGTATTCTAAAAAGTAGAGTTATGATTCACTGAAGACCTACTATGTGTCAGGCACTGTGACAGGCAGGTATAGGTATGTTGTTGTTAGGTCCTGATGAGTCGGTTCCAAGTCTTAGCAACACTATGTACAACAGAACGAAACACTGCCCAGTCCTGCACCATCCTCACAATTATTGCTATATTTAAGCCCACTGTTGCAGCCATTGTGTCAATCCATCTCACTGAGGGTGTTCCTCTTTTTTGCTAACCCTCTATTTTACCAAGCATGATGTCCATCTCCAGGGACTGGTCCCTCCTGATAACATGTCCAAAGTACATGAGACAAAGTCTCACCATCCTTGCTTCTAAGGAGCATTCTGGCTGTCCTTCTTCCAAGGCAGATCTGTTTGTTCTTCTGGCAGTCCATAGTATATTCAATATTCTTCACCAACACCATAATTCAAAGCATCATTTCTTCTCTGGTCTTCCGTATGCATTGTCCAGCTTTCACATGCATATGAGGCAATTGAGAATACCATGGCTTGGGTCAGAGGCACTTTAGTTCTCAAAGTGACATCTTTGCTTTTTAACACTTTAAAGAGGTCTTTTGCAGCAGATTTGCCCAATGCAATGGGTCTTTTGATTTCTTGACTGCTGTTTCCATGAGTGTTGATTGTGGATCCAAGTAAAATGAAATCCTTGACAACTTCAATCTTTTCTCCGTTTCTCATGATGTTGCTTATTAGTCCAGTTGTGAAGATTTTTGTTTTCTTTATGCTGAGGTATAATCATACAAGTACGTGTATAATCTTGCTAAATTCTCTTTTACAGAGAAAGGACCCACAGTTCAGAAAGGTTAAATAATTTAATGTCTTGACAACAGGTGCCAAGAAATTAAGCAAAGATTCACCTAGACCCTTATTTCCCTGGCTCCTCCCTACGATGTTTCCCAGAAGCCCCGGACAGACAAGCCTGGGAACTGTCTCCTTCTGGAGACTGGCACTGTGCAATGACAGCTCTGAGAGGTGCACCATAAAGGATGTATTTAACTTTATTCTACTTGTTTACTTATTAACTTATCTCAACAGTGTGGTGAAATGAGTTCTTTTATGTGGCCTTTTGCCTTGGGTCTTTGGAAAAATAGCTTGAGAGTTGTTCCCCCTAAGCCCAGAGGAGTTCTGTTGCCCTAGTTTTCTACCCCAGAGAGATTGTTACATTTCCTGGGTAAGCTGTAAACTATTTGGTTGGATACTTTTCATCTCATCCTGGGCTGCAACCGGCCCTGTGACTGGTATGCAGAGATTGGTCAATATACTATGCAACTGGAGTGATTATAGACTATGTAAATGAAGTGTGTGTGGCCTACCAAGAGGGGATTGGTCGGTTGGAGAGAGGATTGGTCAGTTTGTGGCCCTGGAGGGAGGGCCATGTCTTGAAATTGAGAAGGAGTTGTGTATATATGCAGCCAACCCCACAGAGGTTTTTCAGACAGGAAGCAGGAAGAAGTAGAAAGGAGGAAAAGCAAGAGAGAAGAGAGAAGCAGCAGGCAGAAAGGAGGCAAGCAACCTTCTAAAAGAACTGTAACACAGATGAAGGGCTGTTAACACTTAAGATGGTGACAGGCCCAGAAGGGGCCCTGCTGCAAAGCAGTGGTGACAGGTGGCAGGGCTGAGAGGAGCCTGTCCTGAGGGGACCAAGAAGAGGCCTGTCCTAAGGAGGCTGAGAGGAGGCCTGCAAGGCTCAGAGGAGCTGAGAGAGCTGTCCTACCATGAAGAAGGGAGACTCTGCCTACATGCTTCTGGTCCTGAATAAACTGCTTAACTGTAAGTACGGTCTGTGAGCTCTGTGTGGCCACTGCAACAGATTATTGAACCCAGAAGAGAAGTAGAGAGTGCCGTGGAGGGACGGCTGCTGTCAGAATCGGTAAAAAAAGGTTGGAGGGTGAAGTATGTCTGACTTCTGACTGCCGCCTCATGGGAGTCAGCTTTGTGCTGATGGTGATTCTTATTATCCTCCATGAGGTCAGACAGGTTCCAATGCTACTACTCTCTCCATTTTACACCCAGAGATCCTGGTTGTGTGTTTTGTTTTTTTTTTTGTCGGGGGCGGGGAGTGGCTGATGTAGATGCTACATGATGTTGATTTGTCTAAAACTATACCCACCCATGTGTGTATATAGTTGTAAAATAACTCTTAAACGCACCTGTGTCTACATGTGGGTGCATTTACACACTGTAGTGGTATGTTGATAAGCATACATGTCCACATATGTGGCTGTCTGGGTGGACTGACACTTGCGATGGGTTCTCTGTATAGTTGAGTGTGCGGTAGTAGGAGGGGTGCAGTGAGAGGCAGACTGACTTGTTCACATGCTCTGTATTTCCCAAGACACTTCTCCTTCTCTAGTGAAGTGGGTGAGCCTGTGGTCCAGGCGGCTGACATGCACCTGTCACCATCTGGCCACACGTACTTCTACACTGCACTGCAGGAGTCTCCTTATCACCTTTCCTCCGAGTATCCTTTTTGTTCTTCCTGTGTGTAAACTCCCTTCTTCATTTCCTGGTATGTTTTGAGGGTACTGGCACACTAGCCATTCTTTCCCACCCAGAATCTAGCCTTGGAAATGAGACAGCAACCACCCCTGAAAAGAAATGAGCCAAAAAAAAAAAGAAACCAATCAAAGGGAATATTGGTTGTTAATGAACAAACAACGTATAAACCAAAACCAAACCCACTGTCACTGAGTCGATTCTGACTTATAGTGACCCTATGGGACAGAGTAGAACTCCCCAATAGGGTTTTCAAGGCTGCAAATCTCTACATAAATAGACTGACACATCTTTCTCCCACGAAGCAGCTGGTGGGTCCAAACTGCCAAACTTTTGGTTGGCAGCTGAGCGCTTAACCACTGTGCCACTGGGGCTCCTTAAAAAATATATAGGGAATTCTTAAATTTCTGTTTGTCACAGTGTCCCTGTGAGAAATTAAGGAGGCAAGAAGTTAAGACTGTTTCTACCCAGCAAACAGTGTACCAAGAAAGCTGAGGTGATAACTTCACGCTGACTGCCTCCCATTGTAATAATCCAGTGAGCTCTATACTTGGAATCTGACACTTTTCTAAATAGATATTACATTCCAAAAAGAAAGGTAAAAAATAAATACATAACTATTACCTGACAAGCAAAAACTCAACAAAGGGTGGGGGCAGGCATCTTCCTTAAGCAAGATAAAGCAGTTGAACCACTTAGGCCCTTAATGAGTAGATCTAAGAATAAGTAAGCTATTAATAGTATGAGAATACTATTTAACAACAACAAAAAAATTCTAAAAACCAAAACCAAATCCTATCTCAGCGGCAGTCAAGAGTTAACCCATTCTTGGAGGGCTGTGGAGGCCATGGTCTTGGGGAACATCTAGCTCAACTGGCATAACACAGTTTATAAAGACAATGCTCTACATTCTACCTTGGTGAGTAGCATCTGGGGCCTTAAAAGCCTGTGAGCAGCCATCTAAGATACTCCACTGGTCTTATCTCTTTGGGAGCAAGGGAGAATGAACAGAACAGGATACAAGGAAAAGATTAGTCCAAAGGACTAAT